ATCTCTCTAGCACCTCCTATGTAAAAACATTAAAACCCAACCTGTTAAATTCAGCACAATCTTGAGTAGAAAATTACTTTGCTTTCAGCTGCCCACATCTTTGTCCTATACTTTGTTATGAGAAAAGAGGAAGAAACAAGAAAAAATCCACAGGGATTGCAACCTAGCTCTTCTGATTGTCTAGGGAGTGGTAACAATTTGAGAGTTCCAGAACACCATGGGTCTTGTTTGGGAGCAATCCATTAGAATGAGGAAATAACTGACCTATGTGATACAGTGATGTCAACAAATCAACATTTCAAAATAACACATTATCCATATACCTTGACATCTTACAACTTGAAATCACTGAACTTTTACTTTGGCTCATACTAATCTTAACAGCATTTAAATCTTATTTCTTACCAATTACAGCATTTGGGGGGCAAAGGGATATGTGTGTTGGGGAAGAGGGATGCAAGAGGAAAGGAAAACCATCCCATTTTTCTCCTAAACAGTAACTAGGATAAAAAGGTTTCTGGGTAGTGACAAAGAAACCTAAAGGTATGAGTCAATTGTCTTTGAAGTTGTTATCATACTTTACAAATTGTGTTTACATTTCTCATGCACTTCGCTTCTCACTTCTACCTTGTTTGGTAGCTGCTCTTTCCATTTTCCAGTTAGGCATAGTCAGGGGTCACAGAATTCATGGATCTTTTGAATCTCCTGCTGAGGAAGGAGATTCTGAGGTAGTCTGGAAAATGTCATTTGGTGAGGCAACCTCTTCTGGGCTCACTCTTTGAGGTGTTTTTCCAGTTGAAGATTTACATAGTGCAAGTTCAGTTGTGCTCTCAGGACCTACTATTCTCTAATAGCACCTTCAGAAGGGTCTCAGCTCGGTCAAAACCTTAATCTTAGTCCAGTAAGACCCTGACCTCCAGAACTGTAAGAAAATAAGTCTGTGTGTCTTAAACCACTGAATTTGTAAAAATTTGGTATAGCAGCAATAGGAAACTAGTGCAATTTTGGTAGTTGAAAGTGGCATCCTGCTGTGACAAATACCTAGACTTGGGGAATGGGCAGAGGTTGGAAGAATTTTGAGGAAGACGACAGAAAAATATCCAGACTGCCATGAACAGATGTAGAAATACAGATGATAGCAACTCCCCTAATAAGGACTCAGAAGAAAGTGAGGACTGTGGGAGAGAACATAAATATCATCTAAAAGCCTAATAGATCATAAGTTAAAGCCTGAATAGACCATAAGTAAAAATATTAACATTAAAGGCACAGCTAGTGAGGGCTCAGATTATATGAGGACACGCCATTGTGAACTAGACGAAAGGGATCCTTGTCTTAGAGTTGCAGAAAGCTCATCTACATTGCGTCCTGCAGTTATGTGGAAAGCAGAATCTATACAGGATGAACTTGGATATTGAGCTGAGGAGATTTCTAAGCAAAGTGTGGAAGGAGCAGCCCAGTTTGTCCTGTTGCTTATAGTAAAATGTGAGAGGAAAAATGTAGAAGCAGGGACGAATTCTTGGGCACCAAGGAACCAGGAACTGATGTTTTGGGAAATTCTCAGCCTATCCAGACTGCAAACTGTCAAGAAAGACTGCTCTGGAGAGAAAGCCAAGCATGTTGCTGGACAAATTTTTCTAGTGCCTGGGAAAAATCAAAAGGATGGAGTATTCTGGTAAAATCAGGGATAGATGGAGACCAGCCTTAAAGCTTCCCTCGATAGAGCTAGTTTTTAGTCATTCAGGCCAAGCTTAATTTAGCTTATTTTGTGAGGCTAACTTGATCTGGATTATTTCTAGCCTATGCCTCTGGAAATGATAAGCAAAACTTGAATTGTTTCCCAAGGTTTATATGAGGTAACCACTGAAAACTGTAATAATGTAATCCATTACTGTGAAGATAAAACACTCACTGCTCTCTCACTACATAAGCCACTTTATAAAAATATACCCGAGACTCATTCCATGTTCTGGTTTGAGCACTTCCAGTCTGCGAACTGTCTTTCTGGTGTGTGCACAATTATTTCTTACTAATTACTACTTCAGTGATTCATTGGCTATTTTGAACTTTTGACATTCAGTCATACACACTCATTCACATGTAGCGTATTAGTCAATCATTGAAAAGATTATGCATGTGACTGTTTCCCCTTAGCCATGACAAAAAAAAAAAAAAAGCCAGGAATATAAATGGTATGATCCAAGAAAAATCTGTGGAGGAACCTCTTCTCATCGAGTCAGTCCTTCCGTACATGGAAGACCCATGATGTTCATGGGAATTTTTGTCCTAGGATGGATCATATCAAGATCCCCACAGTAATTTAAATGATTTAAATGGTGAGATTTGGGACTTTCGAGTTGAATGAGATTTATATGAGATCTTGGACCTTGTAATAGGTTGAGATTTTTGTGAATGTTGGGTGGGGTGATATATTTTGCATGTAAAATGGACATAAATCTTTGGAGGTTAGAGGGAGTACTGTGGGAGGAAGAATAATGTTTCCCAAATACATCCATGTGTTAATCCCCCAAACCTATGAATATGTTACCTTACATGACAAAAAGGACTTTGCAGATGTGACTAAATTAAGGACCTTGAGATGGGAAGATTATCCTGGATTATCTGGGTGAGTTCAACATAATCACAAGGGTTCTTCTATTTTATAAGATAGAGGCAGGAGTATTAGAGTATGAAAAAAAAAATGAACTCTGGTGGTCTTTAGAAACTAGAAGAGATAAGGAAATGGATTCTCCCTAGGTCCACCAAAAGTAATGCAGTCCTGCCAACACCTTGATAGAGGCCGGTATGATGGGGGAACAGAGGACTAGCTGAGGACAAAAAGCACATTGACAAGTCCTTGAAATAGGTGAGTGGCATTCCTCTACAGACTCAACTGTCTCGATGTTCACACTTTGCCAAGGCAGAAGGCAATCTTAGCCCGACCCCCCAGGATCCTCTAAGCCTACTTTAACATATAAAAATTCCCTTAGAAATTTCCCTTTATCTCTAAACCCCCAAGATACGTGTTGGCAATCATCCTCTAAGCACATGGCCCACCAATATACATCTGAAGGGTCTCATGACTCAGGTTTTATTAGATGGTAATAAGTGATCTTTTCCCAACAATATCCAGCCCCCTCAAGGTCCTGGAAACCTTGCTTCCAAAATTCCTTAGAGAGTACACGATCCTCAAACCTCTCCCAACTCCCAAGTATATAAAGAGCCACCTCTCACAGGCCTGGAGCAGCAGCTATTCCTGCCCACAGGTACTGTCCCAGTGCTTTAATAAAACCACCATTTTGCACCACAGACGTCTCAAGAATTCTATCTTGGTCGTTGGCTCTGGGCCTCACCCCACCAAACCTCACCTATATTCCAAAACTTCATCAACTAAGGCCCATTTCAGACTTCTAATTTCCAGAACCGCAGGATTTAAAAATCTGTTACTGCCCCCTCCCTATCATATTTTCTGTGAACACTTTCCTCTATTCCTAATAAGCTCTTTAATTCTAAGTGTCCCCTTTAACACATATATAATTTAGTGCCACTCTGTATTTCATTTATTTAGAAGAATTTACCCATTTTATATTTATTTTATATTGTTCTGATAGGACTTTGTCATTTTTACACGGAATGGGAGGTAGGGAAAGAATAATAGAGACATGTTTGTTTTCAAGTTGGCCTTGCTAACCAGACTCTGTTTTCATATGTTGTCTTTATACTAATTTAGAAAGTATCTATACGTAGGTCAATTATTAGTAAAAAGTGGTGATTTTTAAAAACATATGTCTCTAATTATCTATCGACTTGCTGGAAATGAACCGAGGTTCCTAGCACCACCTAAATCATATCTTGAATTTATCGATTTTAAATGTGGTGTGGGCGAGGCATAGACACTGTGGAAGATGGAACCTACAAAGAATCAAGTAACACTGAAATCTAACTATCCTAAATCCTCACGTTGGGCTCCAAAGCAAGGGCACAGCCATTGGAAAAGACAACCTGGGGGCGGGAATGGCACATCCCAGGAAAAATCACTAAAAATGTTCATGCGGGGGGGGGAGGGGGGGGATAGCAAAAGCTCCCTTCTGGAGTATTCATCCATGCACATTCTAGAAACGTCCACAGGTATTTGAACGCAGTACAACGGTGCCATTTTCCCCAAACTATTGAGAAACAACCTGTATCACACACATATTTATTCATATAAACACGTCTGAGTGTATATGTACATACGCACGCACACACACGTGTATGTCAGATCTAATCACAAACAGAAAACACAACGATGTCGACTGAATGCTTTTATTTTGAATATGTTTCTAGTTCCACATTTCAAATCAGTCAAAGAAGTGACGCGCTTTTAGTGTGTTGTTACCGCTCTTGCTCTAACGACACGAATCCCGTAACTGCACAAAATACACACTATACACTCATGTAGGAGTCACCAAACTCCCACGAAGTAAACTGAGGCACAGCGAAACACCCAGAGATATGGACCAGACCGCATCCTGCCATTTTCCTGAAACTCTTCACTTTTAGCTGGATGAAATGTTAAGAGAATTCCCCCTCGAAACGCTCGACGAGGTCTAGGCCATAAAGCATCAAGTAACTCATTGTAACTCAGCACCAAACTGCGTCTGCTCGGAAGCCGTGCGCGATGCATGATGAATAATGCAAAGGCAGCGCTCGTTACCTACGACCTACGCGGGAGCAGCGAGGCGAATTCGGTCCCAACGCTTGAATATGCATGCGGATGTCCGGGGAGGGGAAGAAGGAGCCTTTGTCAGGACACACGGTCCCCGAGACGCCGCTGCCCGCGGCAAGTTCCGACTAGGCGCACCTGAGATCGCGGCGGGCGGCGGGCGGCGGGCGGCGGGCGGCGGGGCGGGGGGCTCCCTCGGGAGCCCGGGTCGCGCTCGGCCCGCGGGGACCAGGGCGCATGCGTGGCCCGGGAGCCCGGGAGCCCGGCCGCGCGGCGAGGCCGCGGGGGCGCTTACCTGGTGCGCCGGGCGCGCAGGCACAGGACCCAGAGCAGCAGGGCCGCGGCGAGGACCAGGCCCGGGACGCTGGGTAGCTGCGGCAGCGACGGCTCCAGCGAGAGGAGGCCCATGCCCGCGGACTCGTCTTCCGCCGCCCGGTTCCCGCGCGGCCGCAGCGCACCGCCAGGGGTGTCGCTCGGGGCGGCGACACTGCTGCCTCCCGCGGCGGCTCTCGGCGGCTCCCCACACCCCCGCCCCGGTCCGGGCGCCAGAGGCGGGCCTGCTCGCGGCGCTGCCGGGAATGCCACCGCGGGCCCCCGAGCCGAGTCTCAAAGTTCTCGCCTTCCCCTCCCTCCCCCGGCCCAGCCCCCACCCGCGCGCACCGCCCCGCTCGGCGACCGCCTCCGGCCCCGCGGCTCCGGGAGAACTGCGGCCGGGGCTCCTGGGGGCCGGAAGGAGGGCCCGGGAAGCGGGGGCAGGGGTTAGGAGCTGCGGACCGCGAACCTCCGGAGGCCTGCAGGACGGAGATTCCTGTTCAGCTCTGGAAGCGAGCCCCCCAGCCCGCGCCCCTCCTCCGGAGGGCGCCCCCCGGCCCCTTGCACGGCGCTGGGACTGCGCGGGGGCTCAGGGGCCGCGACCCCGGGGCGGGCAGAGCGGCTGTGGTCCCCTGCGGGGGGGGGGGGGGCGCCTCTGCCCGCTCGGCCTGAGAGCTCACACGCTTTTGTTGAGAGCCTACTACGTGCAGAGGCTTGTCCGAGGGGCCGGGAATGGAGAGCGGGGCCACGAGGGACACAGGTCCCCGAGGAGAGAAGAAAGACCAGTCTATTGCAGAACAACGCGAAGGGCCGAAATAGAAGTGGTACTTGCCCTACAGGTGGTTCTTACAAGGGATAAGGGAGGAACTTTTAAAATACTTTTGCCGGAGTAAGGCCCACTCAGCAAGGACTTGACACGTGTTTATTTACCCTCCATTCCAAACTTGTGATACAATATTTGGCAGTATTTTAGAGAACATATAATGACACTCTGGCCAGTTTACCCTCGTTGCTCAGTTCATAAGTAACGAATGACCTTTCTAACCAGACTACTCCAAGCCCACTGTGTTTTCTACTTTATGGAAGATTTTATTATATTAACAAGGTTCTCCGGACTATTGTAACAACTTAGGGACTGATGGCCATACCTCAGACCTTTGACCTTTCCAGTCCATCCTCCCCCTTGCACATCCCTACAACACAGACCTATTCTATTCGCTTTTACCCTGTTCAGAGCTCTTAATGATTGCCTTTGTGACAAACTCATAAATCTTCCATCTGCGATGAGAAGCCCTCCACCGTTTGTCTCCATTGTATAACTCCCACAGCTAGTACAGTTCCATGTACACTAAATCTTGAGCCTCCTTCTTCATCACAGTCAGCCCTTTTACACCCTTGCTTATGATATTCACTCTGCCTGAACGGTTTTCCTCTCTTCCCTAAATACTAAAAATTCTACCTACCACTCAAGGCCCAATTCAAATCCTACTTCCTTCTAGAAATTATCCCTAACTCTTCTTTTGTAATTAAGCTCTTCATCCTCCATACTTTGAACACCATCTCGACTTTGTGCCCCGTCACATTTTTCTATCATGTCTGAGTTATTTCTAAGTCTGTCTTTCCTGCTATGGAAGGTGGGAACCATCTCTCAGACAACCTTGTCTGCACCCACTCTCTTGCCTCCCCCACCCGAATCCCCACCCTGGAGTTGATATGACATAGTTGTAAGTATTTGCATGTGCCTGGCTCTTAATACTCCATAACTGAATTACTGAGGCACTGTTGTCCTTGGCCTTCAAGCTGTAAATGGCTGGGCTAGCATTAGAACTCCAATGGTTATGAGTATCTTCTTTGATTTTTATTCCAGGGTCTTTCTACTGCCTCTCCTTCCTTCCTCCTGTTGTAAATTCAAATTTCCAGGAAATCCAAAAGGATACAGTGAGCCAACAGCTACTTTGTCTCCTCCAAGGGAAAACAAATTGGTTTCCATCACTGGCCAGCAGAGCCAGTTTACAGGACCAGGATGATATCCATACTGTGCATCTCTACAACCACTGCAGAACACCTCTCACTAATTTTCACAAGGATCCTCAACTTTTTCTTTCATTTTCCATTTGATCTCCTGGATGATGCTTCTGTTTGAAAATATAGGTAAAAATATTAAGCATTAATCCATCTATTAAATATTTGCTATGTACTAGGCACCATGCTAAACATTTTATTTCATAGCAATAGTAACAAACACCTGCCATTAATCACACTCTCTTAGGGAAGTGGAAGAAGGAAGACCACACTGTCACCTACTAGATTTGGTTAGCAACTGTGTCATATTCCTATAGTATCTGTATAATATTTTACTTTGAACACTTTAGGGTATACACTTAATACATTTTGAATGTATGTTTCTCTTATATTTTCCATTTATTTTAAAAGGGACCTCCATTCTGTAAACTGACCTGGTTCAAATAAAATTGAAAGACATTTTTTATCGTTATCTTTTGTCACCCAGCATCAGCATCATTACATTCAATCTAGTTCAGTTTACTTTACCTCTGAAATGCCTTAATTCTCATCACTTTTCTGACAGAGATGAGTAGTTGCTCCTCTGTTTCTGCTTCCCCCTTGCTTCTCAGTAACAGTCCTTGATTTTTAACTGAACATTTGACCTTCCATTAAAAAGACTGCTTTCCCAGCCTTCTTGTGGTTGGATGTGACTATGCAGCCAAGTTCTCACCAGTAAGCTAAGTTCAAGTGTTATTTGAGGAAAGTGTCCTTAACAGGTATGAACAGACCCTTTTGCTTCCTTCCTTCCCCTTTCCACTGCTTTGAACGTGGACACTATGCCTGGAACTCAAACAGCCAGCTTAGTAATATAAATATATCCCAAATACTGCATTTGGTATTATTTGTTGTTTATATGAAATTCAAATTTAATTGGGAATCCTATATTTTTATTACTAAATTTGTCAATGCTAGGTTAATTCCTACACAGAGGTTCATAAGGTATATGGGAGAGGCAACTGAAAAATTCTGACTGGCCAGCAGTCCCCTTCAGAAACAAACCACAGGTTTTTCCTCAACCTTGTTTACCAATGTTAGTGTCTTATGTGCCTTGGCCATACTAATTAGACCAGGGTTAACGGACCTAGAAGAGTCATTGAGTAGCACTTAGACTTTGAGGTGTGCAGATGTGGAAGTATGTTTGATATAGAAAACATCCGGCCTAGTCATATTCCTCCAGAAAATATTGATTGTGAAACATGTGGAGAGAGAAATACAAGCAAAAAAACAGAAAAATCAGAGAGAGTAAAGAGAGACAGTGATATATTCAAGTCTCTAAAGTAAGAGCCATGAAAATTCAGATGACAGATCATCCACCAAAGTTTCCCCCACCTTTCCAGGTGACCCTCATCTGCCAGTTGGCCAGAGCTGCCAGCTTCTTTCTCTGCCCTTTCTAATCTAATCTTGAATTCTGGCCCAATTTCCCTTGTGGCCTTTTCCTTTCCTTTTAAAGAGTATGTTTGGAAGTCTTCAAAATTTGAATTCTGATTTATCCCTCTGCTTTTCACATATCTTCTAATTCTTCTGCTCTATTATCTTCGATAATACTGATACACTGGATTGACACTTCCAAATCCACCTTCGTAGTCAACAACATTTTGTTAAGTGTAGATTTTGTTCATGGCACTATACTTGGCCTGCTGGAACTATAAAAATGAATGAGATGACCTTTCCTTCAGAGCTGGGACTAAGAAAACAAAAAGGATTGACATCAGAAAGAAGAACTAAAAGAGGCCAGTCTACATGAGATTGTGGTGTGACAATGGGGAGATTGTAAACACATGCATTCATATGACTTTAATTTTGTGAATTCCTGGGAAGCAAATAATGTGCTAGAGAAAGAGTAGATTACATTCTGGCTTCAGTTGTTGGGAAATATTTGAAAGTACCACTGTGAAAACTTTAAAGTGGACTCCACACATTTTTTTTCCCCAATATCAGCAAGTTCCTAAAATTGGATATGATTACTCAAGCCTGAAAGGTACTGTCGACTTTTGACATAAATATCTGTTGGGTTTTACATCTTATCTATAACTAAATAATTATTGTAGTTATCTTTTCCCCCTTCTTTGTGAGCTCTGTCTTGACTTTGATTTCATTTCTCTTTCTGTAGAATTAAGACCCCTTCTGAGCAAAATTGTGAAGCAGAGGAAGGAAAGGAAAAAAGAACGTGGATTGAGAGGACCTGCCAAGTACCAGGTATTGCTTTATGTTACATCCATTGTTTCATCTAATCTTTAAAACTGATCTCAAATGTAGGTATTAATTTCCTTTAACATAACAGAGAGACAAGACTCAGTTTTAGAGCACTCGTGGTTAGTCTGCTCCTCCATTCCACCGCAAAGTTGCCCCTCCTGTCGCTGTATCATCTTGGCTTCCTTAGAGTTTCACTAACCTTTCACCATATCTGTTCAGTCATTCTTATCTCCATTTTTATGAATCCTGTTTTTACCTGGAGCTGCCCATAACCAAGATACCCCATGACGACAAATGGGCCTCTGTTTTGTAACTTGGCCTACAGCAGCTCCAACTCTGAGGCTAATCTCAGTTTTCCCATCTGTAAAATGATACAAGATTACCTTCCCTCTAGTTTTATGAGGATTAAGTTGGGAGGAGTAGATATATGACAACAGAAATGCCTGCATCTTCTCCCTTTTTCACATTCGAACACCTTCCGTTTCACTGACATAGGGTTTAAGTAGAAATGAGTTAATCAGACAAATTCAGCCCAGCTGAGGTGTTAGCATGTAGATATGCTACTTTTGCCTAATTAAAATATAAAACGTGCCACTTTCTTGTTTCCTTAAGGTGACTATCCTGCTTGTGGCTGAGATGGCCACAATAATGGTATATACTAAGACCTGAGATGGCTATTAGCCTGGAAGTTACTGTTTAGTTGTCGCAATGTAAAGAGTGAGGCATTTTAGATACTAGCCCTATACCTGACTGCAGTTATCTTAAATTACAATCACTTCCTCTTATTCTGGCTTTCTTTACAATTTAAACAATGGTACTTATTTTCTTTTTAGTATTCTCTTCTCCCAAAAAGTCAGTTTATAGTATTAAGTTAGCACTCAGCTTACATTTATAGACATGGCAGGCAAAAATGCTTATTAAATAAAACGCTGTTGAGTGACTAGAGTGACCCAACAATAGAGACGGTTACATTTAAATCTCTTTTTTTTTTTTTAATTTACTTATGATAGTCACACACACAGAGAGAGAGAGGCAGA